ATAGGAGTTTATTTGTCTTGGCCCATAGGAAGCTGCTATCAGATCATTCCAGATCAATGCAAAAATTTTCTTTGCATTTTACTCCAGATTAAACAAGTGAATCTCAATTTGATTGGATAGGACTCTTAGATAACAAAGGCTTTCTGTAACCTCAACACACTTTATTAGAAGCACTAATGTAGATTTGTCTAAATGGTGAAGCTGTATTACCATTATTGCTATGCTGCATTGCCCATCAGAAATTATAGAGTTTAATTACTGATTTAATTTTTTTTAAAATAATGAATTAAAAATTTAAACTGGGAATAAATGCTATCTTAGGCAACAACAATGGCCTTGCAGCTCCTACTTAAAAATAAAATATTTTTAATGGTGAAACTGCCAGGGAAACCATGGATTTCATTAATGCTTTTACTCTCTCTCCTCAGAAAACACAGAGATATTAGCCGTTTAACTCCCTAATTTGTATTTTTTATGTAACTGAAAATTCAGAGCCATTAGGCATAGTTAACAGTATTGTAGCAGTAGTGATTTTATTACTACTGCTTTTAATTGAGAAGTAGTGCTTGAATATTATTTGAACGCATAGGTGGCAGGTGTTGTGGTCAAATGCTGCTTTATATTTGTGCAGCTGTGAAGTGGGTGTCACCTCCTCTGTCCCCTCTTAAGACTGCCTTAATGGCTGTATTGCATGCTTATTAATATTAAGCCTGGTGGTGGCTGGGCACCATAGCTAAGAGAGTGGAGAAGTTCCACACTAAGAAGGTATAAATATGTCCCTAATTACAGATTATAGGGTAGTGAAAGTCATTCATACTGCCTTACCACCCCCATCACTGCCCCTAGTTGCCCTACTGTTACTGCAATAAGCTCCAAGTGTGGGTGAGAATGGCTGGAATCGTATTGACAGTTAGGGTTTGAAGGTTATTTAGGGTTTCACTGCTCCCCAATTTTGCACTCCTTCAGCCAAGATACCTGGGTTTCAGAATCCTGATTTGTCATGAATGTTTTCATATAGAGGTATATTTGTGCTCTTTCTCTGACAAAAATAGCCTAACAGCCTTGTTTAACAGATCTAGGGGAAAAGGATAGTGACAATCTTACTCCTTTTGTCTGAGAAAGGAGAAGATCTGTCTGTAACTATGATTGCCAAACTCATACAACCTAATTCTGCCTCTGTGTAGATTGTTGCTTGTAAGAATTTTAAGCAGCTTTTTAGATGAAGGAATAATTAGAAATGTGGAGCTGAACTGAAACTAGGTTGAAATGAAAAATTTATAAAGGAAAAGCAAGTTGCGCCCAACTAATTTGGTTTCTGCCCATCTTTTGAGAAGATGATTGAGATTCAAGTAGTAGATCTTGTCTATCTGGTATCCCATAAAGTCTTTGATACAGTGAACTATGGAAAGCTAATGTTTGAATCTAAGAAAATGGATTTTGATGCAGCAATTTAAAAAATGACCGAAGGACTTGCTAAAGCAGAGGCAACAAGACAATGGTTTGAAAAGAGAAGCTATCAGTCAGGAGGAAGATAACTTCTGGAGTTTATCAAGAATCAGTCTTCAGTTTAATTCTTAATTATTATGAGTAACTAGGCTACTGAAATTTTCTGCAGTTTGGGTGTTATTATCACTGCAGAAAAAGGAGAAAATATGAAAAGCTGGATAACGAGGTAACCTTTCAAAAAAGTAGAGAGAATAGATTCATGATTACAGAGTTCAAGGTCATGTACTGAGGAGCTAGTAATTTATGCAGCAAGTCGTGAGTACAATAAATGCAAATAATTGAAGAAACAAAATTTCTAATATAACAGTCACAGAAGAACAATCTGGTTATGATACATACACAAAGTTGTGGTCACTCAGATTCAAGAAAAGTTACTCCAGATGGGAACAGATGCAAAAGAAGTCTATCAGGACCTTTTGTGGAGGGTCATTTTTATTTTTTGAAAGGAGATTAGAAGAATTAGCTTATTCAGGCTTGTAAACCAAATTCTAATATATCTGATACCTATGAAATCATCGGAGAAGTAAAAGAGCTATTTAAAGACAAAATTGGCAAAAAAGAATTAATGGTTATAAAGCTTCTATGAATAAATTCAGACTAGCAATCCAAAGACCATTCTAAATCATGAAAAGGATTAAACTTTGTGACTTTGTTTTTCCATAAGAGCAATGGATGTAAAAAAGCCATACTACTTTTAAGACAGAATGTAATAAACCAAAAAATAGGATTATGTGAAGTGGTGGTGTAAGGCTTTTATCCACAAGGTCCTGGCAAGTCCTAAAGGGAGAGTCAATCCTTGATTACCACTCAGCTGTCAAGTGGCATAACTTAATCCACTGGAGTGCCCAGAAGTGAAAAAACTGTTACACAGAATTGCAAGAGATCGCTCTCTGCAGGCAGATCTCAGTGAATTGATTCCCACTAGTCTATGTTGTCCTGAGTTTGTTATCAGAATTAAATTCAGTTGTAAGACTCATGGCTTTTCCCAGTAAAATTTATAATCTTAGCCACAGTAATTAATGGCATTTGACTGTAGATTCTGTAGTGTACCTCTGTCAGATTAAAGAGAGTTTATATATGACAAGAAAAAAATGTGATGCATGTTCTACTTGCTTTCTCATACCTGCAAGCTGGGACAAACCATATTGTGAACATCGACATACATGCTAGAAACTGTGAAAGGAGAAAAAAGTTTGAAAAGCCATGTTTTCAGAAGACAGGAACGTCAGAAAGGAAAGCTGTGCTTGTGTCCATCATTCTGCCCAGAAAGGCTATTAAATTTTTCATAAGTTTTCTCTTTGTAAGCAATTCTGCTCCATATCTCCTAGTTATGCACTGGAAATGCAAAGTTAGACAAGAGGGTGACTAGGATGTTGGTGACACTAGATTCATTGTGTACATTAGTTCTCTAGCTACTAAGCTTAGTGGAAGCTTAGTGGAAGCTTCAATATTTTTACCTGTTGCAACCTGTAGAGATTAATACAATGGAGTTCTTACTGTATACAACTTGTCTATCACCTGTAAGAAAAATTTGGGTGGTCCTGCCATAATTTGAAGACAGTGGTCTGTCCAAGGGAGACTCTGGGGCTGTAAATGTAAAATGTTTTGCGTGATTTGGTGGCTACTAGTATTGGTCTTCAAACGGCATGCCTTTGCCTTTGACAACAGCAGTTTCTCAGGGAAAAAAATATGAAGCTTTCTGTTCCTTGTGTTTTCTCTCTGTCCTTTTCTGTGGAAGTACCACCTGTTCTCTGGTAAGGGTTTCCACACATTGCAAAGGTTGAGCAGCTCTAGAAAAACTTTTGCTTTGGAGGGCATTTAACTAAGTCTTAGTGCCTTAAGGATAAGCTAACTATTATGATACCATTTTGAGTGCTTGAGATGTACTGTAGACAAATTCTCTCGTGTCATCAAAATCTCATGAAACAATAGATTCTTTTTAAAAATTTGAGTGTAAGTGGAAGACTGATATAATATAAAATTATAACTCTCTTGTGTGTCTAGTCTTGATCTGCTAATATATAGTCTGCTTTGAGAACCTATTGAGACAAGATGCTGTTCTTTCCCAATTTCCTACTGCTGAATTGCATCTAAGTTTCTTACTGCTGTTTTTCCTTGTGAATGCTGTATTCAGTCACTGGTTAAAAGGGAACATGAAAGGAATATCACTGATTAGAGGGAAATATTGCAGATAATAACAAGCTGAGTGGTACAGTTGATTTGCTTGATGGAAGGGATGCCATCCAAGAGGACCTTGACAAGCTTGAGGAGTGGGCCCATATGAACCTCACGAAGGTCAGCAAGGCGAAGTGCAAGATCCTGCACTTGGGCTGGGGCAGTTTCCAATATCAGTATGGACTGGGGTGTCACTGGATTGAGAGCAGACCCACAGGGAAGGACTTGGGGATACTGGTGGATGAAAAATTAGATATAAATTGGCAATGTTCACTTGCAGCCCAGAAAATGGGTTGTATCCTGGCCTGCATGAAAACAAGTGTGGCCAGAAGATCAAAGGAAGTATTTCTCCAGCTTGTAAGACTCCACCTGGAGTAGTGTGTCCAGTTCTGGAGTCCTCAGCACAAGAAAGACACAGGCATTATAGAGTGGGTCCAGAAGAGGGCTGTAACAACTCTCCTATGAGGACAGGCTGAGAGAGTTGGGGTTGTTCAGCCTGGAGAAGATGAGACTCAGGAGAGACCTTTTGCAGCCTTTCAATGTATGAAGCAAGCTTATAAGAAAGATGGAGAAAGATTTTTTACCAAGGCCTGTAGTGACAGGACAAGAGACAATGTAAACTGAACTAGGGTAGATTTAGATCAGATGTAAGGAAGAAATTTTTCACAGTAAGGGTAGTGAGACACTGGAACAGGTTTCCTAGAGAAGTTGTGGATGCCTTATCGTGGGAAGCACTCAAAGGCAGGTTGGATGGGGCTTTGGAGTAGATAATCTTTGAAGATCCCTTCCAACAAAAAACATTTTGTGATTTTGTAATTCTATGATCAGCCATGTAGTGCAACAGCACAGCTGTCCATAAAATGTTTCTAAACCTTTTTTTACTGAAGATTTTGTAGTGCTGTAAGTTGAAGAAAGAGAGCCTTAAAATTTAGTATAAAGAAATACTTAGATGCTTTTCAGTTAGCAGGCAAGTTTTTCAAAGTGGTCAAACCAAAAGCCAACTTGTTTACTTTCAACTGAGGTCGATAGGTGTCTTCCCACTGATAAAATCAAGAGCTTTGCTAGTCTTTGCTGCCTGCTTCAAACTCTTGCCAAAAACATTGCTGATTAAGGGAAGTCCATATGAGTGCAATACAACGCTATTGCCCAGCCCTGCCAAAGTCAGTGACCACAGCAGAAAATATTTTTTTTTCTCTTACTCATTAACACATTAAGGAGTTGTTTCTTTGCAAACTGAGTATGTCTTTTATTTTCACTTTCTTCCTTCTTGTTTTTTTTTTTTTTTTAATGTGCTGATTTTAATTATCTTTCCCTCACAGGCTGCTTAAAAAACCTCAGAGTACTCAATGTGAGTTTCAATAATTTGAAGTCAGTCCCTCCAGAACTGGGTGACTGTGAGAATCTAGAAAAACTGGATTTGTCTGGAAATATGGAAATAACAGAGCTTCCATTTGAAGTAAGATAACAAACTATGTATCTTCCATCTTTTTTATTTGGCTTATAAGGTATTTTATCACAATCTTAAAGAAATTTCTTAACAGATTAAATCACATTTCTTGCAGATTTTATTAGTTGTTGCAAAAATATTTTAGTAGTAATATTACTGAAAATGCCTTTGCAGCAGTTAAATGGGACCAAGCCTCTTTGTTTTGGTTTTCAAGTGACTAAATTTTGCTTGTATTTATTCTAATATATGAAGGAAGGCATGATCCCAAAGGAATTTGGCTGGTGGTGATAAGGAAAAGGCTGCAAATAGCTATGTGCTGTTAAAGTGAAGTGCATCTTGACAGTAAAATTCACACACTAAGTTTCATTTGTTCCTAGTGTCTGTTTTCCTTTAAAAGGTGTATAAAGAGCTCTATAAACAACACTGCATGTTGCTATGATCATAAATATCTTTCTGAAATGGATATTACATGTGAGGCATGGTATAAATAGATAATAAAGACTGAGAAAAGGACTCCAAGGCATGCAACAACATTGTTTCTTGATTTCGATGCATAATTGCTCTCTGCCACAGCTGCTCTGAGAATTATTGTTCATGGAGAAACGAAACCATAAGCAGGTACCTAACCATGGTTTTGGATGTCATCTGTATTTCTTAGTTTCTTAGCATCCTGATTCCTGGAGGATGAGTGCGGGAAGCTTTAGGGATAAGTGTCAGGCTTTTTATTGCTTCCTACTTTTTCTCTAAACATGTGTTACAGGTGATTTACAGGAAGTGTTGGAGTGGCTTAAACTTGTGTGAGATCTGTTTTGGCCGTGCTTGAAGGTAGTTTATCTGAAAATAATTATTAAAAAATGAAATTAAGGAAACAGAAACAAAAGGTGACTATTATCTTCATGTCACAAGTAGACACTAGATAAAAGTGCTAGCAAGAGCAGAAACAGTGCAGATCTCCTTTGTCCTTCTCCTTCTCCATCAGATAGCAAAGACAGGGGACAAACCAGATAGAACTTAACTGGTCAAAAGGAACCATAATGAAATCTGACAAACATATATCCTGCACAAGCAAAGTAATTAAATATAAGCATCTAGGAAAAGTGAGTATAGGCAAACCTGTAGACTGGAATGGTGAATTTACCACCAGTCATTGGTATGTTGAAATCAATGAGTATTTTTCCAGTTGCTTCTAAAGGCCTTGTAGTACAATGACATGTCTAAGCATTATGGGTAGCCTTTGCATGTAAACCTAACTGTGCATGTAAGCCTTTACAGTGCTGAATACTAAGAGACTGATGTTTCTCTTGGAAAGCTCAAAACTGTTGCTCCTTTCTGGCATTCTCCTATTCAATGGGATTGAAAACCACTGAAACTGAATGTAGGCCACTGGGTATTGGTTCACTTACAATCTATGGAAAAATTTGGAGCTATGCAAATTACTTTATATAACAGCAAAAAATGGAAGCAGCATCATGTCAGCATGGTCTAAAAGGTCAAGAAGAAAATTCTCGTCATTGTCTTTTGTGTTTCCTTGTTTTTCTGGATGTGGACACTCAATCTGTACTTGCAGTGATCTGGGAGGTAGGCTACACAAACTATTCTGATTTAGTTTATAAAATTAATATCCCAGAATCAACATTTCAAGGGCAGCTTTGGAAGCCAAACATACAATTGAAGAAACACTTTTGTCACATGGTTTAAAATGCTGTGAAGTGTTCGGCCTTCAGTGTAGTCAATATGGCTGAGGTTATTTAGAGCAATTGCATCAGTATCCTTGTTAATGTAGCAGGTGTTTGATGTTTGATTCTTAGATGTGCAAAAGGTGGTAGTCAATGGCAAGTAACTATTTAATAAGTTAAAATATTGACTTATGTGTACTGGGAACTGGAGAGTGTAAATGAGCAAGTACATGCAAGCTCTGATTTAGTAAGTGAATAGATTCCCTCTGCAACATTAGGGAAAAAATAAGAAACCGTGGCAAACAGTACACAAAATAAATACAGTGTTGCTAAAAATGTTTCCTGTTGGTCATCTTTTGGGAAGCTCGATTTTTATTTGCCTTTCAAATACTTAAATTTTTTTTCTGGGAAGGTTAAAAACATGCATTAGAGCAGCAACAGTATTCTCCAGTGTAAAACTTACTCAAAAGAAATAAAGGTAAACTTCAGCCCAGCAAAAATTATCAAAGTCTCATTTTACCTCATTTTACCTCAGAGAGACACTGATAACATATAAAAAAATGGATTTGAAGAGATTGATAACAGGCCTGTAATTCAGTCAAGAATTTTTGCCAGACCCATAAAGGTTTATGAGATCATCAGAACTCTGAGGCTGAATTATATCTTAAGTAATCAGTCTCTCTGTTCCCTTTCTATCCATTTTCTTTACAACAAGTGCAAAAAATAGAGAACTTTTGAAGCTTTCAGTTTATTTGGTTATTTAGTTGTTTGTTTCGTAGGAAAAGAGGTCAGTTTTTTCTTTCTTTTTTTTAACAGACACAAAATATTACGTGATGACATATTTTAGGGGGAGAAACCTCAGTGAGATGGGTCATATAACACATGACTGTAGTTGCTATGCAGAAATGGTGGAGGGTGAACTAAGTTATTACACAAAACCATACAATGTCACTAAATAACCATTTTGAATTAAAGTTCCTAATTTGTGAAGACAAGTACCATACATGTGTAAGTGTTTGCTGGTATATCACTTGTTTCTGTGCCTAAATTTGTCAATCAGCAACATAGGAAATTCACAGACCGTTATGATGTCTGTTAAGTCTGTTAACTTCTTTTGTAAACAGAGAAACTTCAGGAAAGATGTTAAGCACCTTTATCTTGTACTACTTTTCAGGTAAACTAAGTTCTTAAGGAGGTTTCCAGCATGTATACTGGCTATACTTTTTGCCTTTTTAATCTATGAATTTGATTTTTCAATGCAGCTGTTTAAAGCTGAGATAGACTATGATTGAGATGCTCTAGCACGACTGAAATCTTGAGGATCTTGATTCTCTGTTAATAGATTCAATATCTTGGTAGCGATAAATCCACCTTTTTCAATGTGTGGGGAAAAAAACACCATCTCAAACCATAGCATTCTGCTTGGCCTAATGTGACCAGTTCATGGAGTGACTACATCAGCTTACTAGGAACATATACTTCCAGTACCAGGGCTTTTGTCAGTATTTCTATTTAGGTGTGCTTTGAAGCCGTGCCTTGAGTGACATGCCTTGTGCCATAGCACCAGGAGGCAAGCACACTGCTCACTTGTCTCTTCATTTCTTTTAGAAAGCTCCTTCCCTGTTTTCAAAGCTCACGTCTAGCACTCTGTAAGTCATCTCACTGAATCTTAAAATGAAGTAATCTGATGCTCCATTGGAAAAAAAATGAGGATGTGTGCTCTCATCTTTTACTTTCTCAAGGCTTAGGATTTCTTATCATTCCATTCTATGCCTAAGGAAGAGCAAGCTGGTTCAGTGTCCACTTTTCAGTTTATTCTTCTCTCTTCTGCTGTTGAATGTCTATCATTTTTAAAAAGTTCCATTTCACTTCAATATTAGGTTAGTATTAGTTGCAAAGTAAGTCCTTTGGCAGAAGAGGTTTCTGGATCTGCAGTTGAATTAAAAACTGTTTTGGCCACATTTGTAAATTAAGAATGCCTTTCTCTGGGCATGAGTGAAAGTATAAATTGAAATCAAGATTAAATATTAGTAAGGCAACCTACGTGGTATTACATTTATGAAGCCAGATTTTAACAGATACTTCTAGACCTCAGTAACCAGGCTCAGCAGGTGAAGGTGCACTATGAAATTTAGGGCACAGTCTTCCCCGAGATGACACATAGCTGATAAAACTCCTCTGGGGAGATGAATTTGTTTCTCTAGCTAAGATACTCAAGAAAGGCATACCCTGTGTGTTATCCAGTCCCTCTCCTAGCATAGTGGGATTATACCAGGTACCACAGAGAGAAGGGAAGGGATGGATGGATTTATCTCTAAATTTCTTGTATCTTCAATTTAATGTTTAGCATGATGCTGGTATTTGTGTTTTAACTCTTGGAGAGAGTTCCTATTGCAATTCTCATAGATGTTGTATAACTATTTTTCCCCCTAGGAATAAAAACGGTGCTATAAATAAGATGTTTTCTGATGTAGATTTGTAGAAAAATTGCTCTGACCTTATTTTGAGGTTTAATTTTCTTCAGAAAGTATTGCTTTCTATGGTTATTTACTGAAACACCCAATTAATGCTCCTGTGCATGGCAAAATACCTGCTTTGTGCTGCTATTTCAAAGAGACAGCTTTGCTGTATTGAGGAGCCAGCTCTTTTTCCATACTATAAAATTCTGCTAACAATGCTGCATAAGCCAAAAGTGTCTATAGATGTGACCTGAAGGAACCTGAGGGAGATGAAGAAATTATAATTTCCTCTATCTGTATGATATGGTGTGGCACATGCTGTCAGTCACAGGACAGGCAAGCTCCACACTACCAGCAGCAAGACAGAAATGCTTACAGATAGATGTTCTGATACTGAAAATAAATTAAAAAGAGGCTTTGCAAAGTTATTCTTTGAACAGTATTCAGTATCACATCTTAGCAGTCCTAGCAAGAGATATGAAATATTTTCTGTACCCTTTGTGAGGTCCAGGTAGTGCAAAATGAAGGAACAAGGCGGAGACTGTTACAGCATATGAATACATTGTCAAAGGAAATGCTTATGTATGTATGTCTGCATTTCCATGTCAATCCACTATAAACTGATCTTTGAAGTTCAGAGAAATGGCAAGGCTATGCTTTCTGGCTGTTTTAGCACACCGTGTTTTCAACAGATCAAATAAAATCTTGGTTTGTATTTCTGATAACTAAAACTTTTCAGCTAAGTCTTGATAAGTACAGACTTGAGTAGCTTTCAGAATCATAGAATAGTTTGGGTGGGAAGGGACATTTAAAAGGCACCTAATCCAACCCCCCTGCAGTGAGCAGGGACATCTTCAACTAGATCAGGTTGTTC